GAAGGAGGTTACAAAACGTTTGGGTGCTATCAGTGCCACTCGCCTTGTATTCTCGGTGGGTTTTATTGATGGTCTCCACGTTACCAGGACATTTCCGCTGTTTCGGGACTGACTACTGCAAAGGAGCAGTCTGTGATCGACATGCATGTGAATTAGGCGATTTCCGTTGTCCATGCGTCTCATGTCAAGCCCAAGTAGACGACCCAGTTGGACTACTGCAGCGCTTAGTCAAACCACCTGGGCGTTCATTTCGACAACAACCTTTAACGACGTCCGAGCTTTTAGCTCGTTGTATAAGAGCATCTGGAGTTTCATAGAAACTGTCTTTGGCACATTCAGGGCTATAGTCAGTTGGGGCATAAACAGACATAATAAACAAGTTGTAATGGATCTAACTTTCTCCAGATCCTTTCATAGACAGCCGCACAGAGATGACTATCAATCAGTATATATTCACGCCTCCTCTCGATAGTTCAGTACAATACCCATCTCAGTATATCTGTTGCAGTGGCCTCCGCATCACCAGAGGTGCGCAACCAACCCAGTTGGTGACACCACGCAACGATCGCTGTGGCATGAGATTATTGTTAGTTGTAAGTGTCATGTTTATGCGTGTGAGTTAGGATACTACCAGAGAGTTCAGACATAGAAGGACGATTAGGGTTCTAGACCAAAATCTTTGGCTCAAAAGCCCAATTGCAAGGTGGCGGGAAATGCAAGGGCATTACTAGCTTTATAGAACAGTTCACCACGTATGTCCCAACCACCAACCCGGAGGCCTTGTTGGTCAGACTGATCGTTGATCAACCTGGTATGAGGGACTTTGTGATTATCGCATAGATAACAACCAGCATAGTTCGATGTGCCACGGATGCACACAAAGCGTCACATCATGTTCGCCATCATCATCGACAGCAATACGTTAATAGTGGGACCTGATACTTAACCTCCGTACAAATTTGTACATATTGCCAGCCCACCTTAGAGAACACACATAGTTTGATCACCGAATTTCACCACATGTGCTCGGAAACGCCTTGTTGAATTGTATGGAAGAAAAAGCAACCAAGTTCCCATATCACCCTTCTTTGTTCTGCGGAGCTTGTGAAGAAGAGTAGAGTTGCAGAATAGGAAAGTTCACACTGGTGACTGCTTCTAACAAAGCCTAATGTGGGTAGTGTATGTGCGTGTGTGTTCCATTTCACGCTTTTATTGATCATAACACACGTTTTGGACTATCTGACAACGTGAAATAAACGCGGTTACAGTCATGCCGAGTGTGGTAGGCCCTTCACGCCTTCTTGGCTGGGACCCGCATGACTCGGCGGCTTGCAGGACATGGTGCACAGCGGATGTCAGCTGCACACATACTGCCATCTTCTAGCCGGACTCTCTAGCTACAGTTTGCCGATGGTCGTGTGTTGCGCCTATGTCGAGTGCGTTTCGCAAGGGACCCTGGATCAACCCAGCCGATGGCACCTTACTTCGGCATGATGCTTAGATGTGCTTATTTTAATGCTGCTCAGGTTAATAGGTTTGCCTTAGGGACATGGAGCTTCTTCACACCAGCAACCCACCCTCCCCTCTTCTATCCATTCTTTCCTCCTGGTTTAATGGCAGTTAAGCGTGACTGGGTATCACTGGTGTATTGCTGTCAGTGATGACAATGTTTGGACGATTACAAGGTCAAGAAATTATACTAAAAAAGCATAAGTTACGAAATTCAGCTGCATCCTAGCATTGAGGTAGAAGTATTCAAACAGGTCAGGTGCTTTGGTTGCGGAGCAATGTCATGTCAGTGTTTAAGTGTGGGTCTCAATACAAGGACTTCTACGAGTATCACCGGGTGGTTGTGACATCCTGTCCTACATAGAAAGCGATTTTGCTTAAGGATAGCGAGGGGGCAGGGCAGATAGCCTGTGAAAGACCACGCCGGGATCTACTTCGCCAAAATAGATCAGCGAGAAAATGGAATCACTGAATGAAGTCACCTGTGAGGAAGACTTCTCATCTTTAGGTTTCCGTGAGTGGATTTCGAAGAGATAATGTTGTCAAATTTTCGAGCTAATTAATGTACATCGACGAAACCTTTGACCTTCATTCTTATGGTACTTAGCACCAGATTCCGGCGTTTCCGTTCCCCAAGGACAGTCCTCATTATTTGTGCCAGTACCAGTGCATTACCTGACAAGTTGCATAGAAACCTAATACAAAGTCGGAATTGGTCTCCGTCGGCCCACCACAATGTGAAGTATGAATGTACTGTTTATACCAGCCATCAGAAAAACGGGAAGTTACCTCAAAATACTTCGAAACAAACGGATGGGCTGTCACTCTTCAAGAAAGTCAACTGGATGCTATTAATATCCATGTGTCCTCTATTTAGATTGATTCAGTTTTCTTATTTTCTATAGGTCCTGAAGGGGCAAGATGGCTCAAGTGGTTAGAGCGCGAATTTACTGACCGGAAGGTCCGTTCGAACCCGAACTCTGCCTCTCGACTTCCCCTGTCTAAACTTGGTCAACCTGGAAGTATCCCAGCTCTTGTGCTTCCTTCGAGTAGCATGGCAGCTAGGCACCGGAAGGGTGTTACAGCTAAGCGTAATAAATGGTAAAATAAGTCCAGAATCCACTACCTTTCTCGACTGATAGAAGTGTAACTTTGCAGGATATTATATTTTTCCAGTCTCTAACCAATACACTATTACGCATAACGTTACCATGGCTCAGGTCTAGCGGAAAGACACTGTACCAACCAACGTGACCACGTGCAAACATTTTCTGTCTCCGTCTCCTTCCATTGTTGTGGTCTAGACATCATTGTCCATTATCTCGGTCACTAGCGCTATCCGACTCGTACAAACATCTTCTGACAACCAGTTTACCAACCATCCATCACCATATAACTGTCTAAGGCGGTGGAACCAGCTTTCGTGTGTTAACAATAGGACGTAAGTGACTACTCAAACTTTTACACCTTGAACACTCGTGTTACCGCAGTTTCCCGTGATTGGAGACTGGAGCTATCCTAAAACTCTGAGACCGTGACTGTCACAAAGAGACTGGACCTTACCGTGGTGTAATGGCTTGCGCACCTCAAGAATTCATTGTGCTATACTGGGGAATGTCCTCGTGACACTCACAGAGTCTCTCATACCAGGTTGGTCAATGGTTAGAGGTCTGGCGAACACAGTCTCCTGGTCCTGCAGGTTGGGGGTTGGAACATGTGGCAACTTGCTCCGTAGAAATGGTAATCTGGTAATCTGTATTTCCCGCCAAACACCACTGCCTTGCGGTTAGGCTGATGAGCCAAAGGCTTTGGTTGAAGACTCTAATCGTCCTCCTGTCTAGATGTGGGCGTTCTGGCAGTTGCCCACCCCTCGTACCAGTACGGCAGTGAAGCACATGCTGTCGGTGATGGTGAGACTGTGAAAATGTTTCCACGTAAATTGTTCGACTTTTCGGCCGCCTCGAGCGACCTTCTTCAGCAGTGGAAGAATAAGAATTACACAAAGAGCATGAAAGACTGGTAGTTACCGTTACCAAGTGGTTATTTGATTGATTAGGGGCTGTAGATCAAACCGCAAACTTCTGCTCATTGTGTCATTTTCGGGTCAGCTAGTTACTACGGTCCTGACCCCAGTAAAACTCAGTAACTCAACAACCATACGGATCCGCAGATTTTACCTTAAGCCGTTGACTCTACCTGCGCCTACGACATTACTTGTGTGTGTGCCTTCTAGAAACGCTCTTGATTAACTCTTCGGACTCCGGACCTGGAACATCAAACTGACAAGCTGCGTGTTTCGAGAGACGTTGGCTACATCATACTGCGTCACTATCCTATCAATCAATCGAGGAACCGTATGTGCTCGAGAGGCCCCAGTAAAACTCAGTAACTCAACAACCATACGGATCCGCAGATTTGACCTTAAGCCGTTGACTCTACCTGCGCCTACGACATTACTTGTGTGTGTGCCTTCTAGAAACGCTCTTGATTAACTCTTCGGACTCCGGACCTGGAACATCAAACTGACAAGCTGCGTGTTTCGAGAGACGTTGGCTACATCATACTGCGTCACTATCCTATCAATCAATCGAGGAACCGTATGTGCTCGAGAGAGTATCTTCCAGTTGATATTTGTGTATTTATACTTCCGGCTCGCTTGTTTGTTTACCTCAGTGATGAGTTACTGGTTGATTCTTTTTGTTGTGGACAGCTTAAGCGGTGGAAATTTCCACCGAATCTCCACTGCCAAACCAAATTTTCTAAGTTGATTGCTTTAATCACATAAATATGACAAGGATTTCTGGTGTTCCAGGATGTGTGTGACTAAAGCTCATTCGGCAGCTTTCTGTACCCCCTGATACCTCGTATTAACGGTTGGACTCACCTCAAAGCTGAACCGGTCGATAACGAATTATGGATGTCGGCAAGGAGGAATGATGTGATTGTAACGTGGACGGCTGGAGTTCGAATCTCGATTTTATTGATAGTGAAGTCCAGTTGGCTGTGTTATCCAAACTCAAATTTCCGAGATTCTATGGTTTCACTCAGCAAACTCCACGCTTTTTCGCGCTCGATATATGGACCTGAAATATGGCCGCCTTATGTCCTCACACCTGTTCATGCATGGGACTGGTCTTGGCTGCCGTTCATAACCAAATAAAACACTGTTGAAATCGATATTTGGAGTTCCGAGTCCCTTGTTACAAACAGTCGCCCGTTATTCAGGTTTAAATCTGGAACACCGGTTCACAATCATTATTCCATGAATCTCTTGGCTTTTCCAGAGCTGATGTGGTAGCCCACTGCAGAGTATCGAGTGATAGCGGTGTTCAATCCCCTATTGAGAAACCAAGTAATTTATAACAGATGTTTCATGACAGAAGTATAGTTACAGTAGGAAGTTTCTAGTCCCTTTGTTTCAGATGACATAACGCATTACTGTGTAGACACAACACACTACTCACAAAATTGCTCAACCTGGTAACCCATAACCCGGTTCGCTATTCTCGGGAGTCACCAACCCTCGAGTTTCTGTCATCCCTATCTTATAGTAGGATCCAAATTGGACAGATTTCAACAAATGCTCTCATTTGCACAAGAAAGCCAAATTCGTGTGCAAATTAGAGTATTCGTCGGAAACCAGGTTGTTTTCTAGGAAAGATCGGTGGTCTTAGTCTGATCGAAATAGTTGGCACTTTTAGATTAATCCAGTTGGTAGTTGATCTTCATCAAAAGAAAAATAAGGTTGGAAAATCCATTAGATATAATACCCTCAATATATTCTCCATTAAATAATTTTGGGTTTCAACCTGTCAGTGTCTGAGCATAGGTTTCAAGCTTTTGTTGGCGATGCGATGCCGACAAGTGAAGGAGTCACCATCAAAAAGGACCAGCAGGATGTCATTTCTGACATGCCGAACATGGTAAGTTCGCCAATGCTGTTCGCACCTTCGTCATCCGCCGCTGACTTCACCCGTTAGAGTGCAGCCGCGTCCGATGCAGTTGTGAAAAACATGTCAACTGATCAACTCAGTTTGAAAAGTGCACGTCGAAAAGTGGAATCGCCTCTGGTAAAGTACTTTGCGCAAAAAAAACAATCCCTAAACAACAAAGTGATATCTGCATAATTCACTTCCATTGATCTCTCTTCAATCGTAATTTTGATGCTTAGGTTCATGATCCCAGTAGCCGTGTTGCGAAAGGCATAAAGCTTATACTCCTTTGTTTGGAACAGTCAGATTGGGTTCCTTCTTTTGAGCATGTGTATTACCGCCGACTGGCTCCCCTTCTCTGGAACACATTCTCGAACAATTGAATCCACATCCGTTCTAATCAGCACTGTAACCTTTTTTGTTGCTATCGATTTGTTGTACTAATGTTGTTATACTACTGATTTGTGGATCAAATGATTCCAGTTTGTCGATTGATTTTACCAGAAAATGGAGGTTTCCTCATCTCATGTTGTGTTTTTCTTAGCATGGTTTTCAAATGTCACGAAGAACCTGAAAGAATTGCATCAAACAAACCGACAGGGTTATAAGAATTGACGTTTAGATTTTCACAAGCATTTCATAATATTTCCTGTATGCTTCAATGAAAACACTAGTGTTGAGGTACGGAATACCTCTCAGTGAAGTGGATCACAGACCTGCTTTGTGAGTGAATGCATACCCTTTAGGTCAAGAAATCATTACCAGTTCAAAGTTAACTTGGATGCGATGCTTCTGGCGACCTCTGTGATCTCCCTCTGATGAACTTCAACAAGAGCAAAACTTGAGTCCAGTGCTCCCACACTTTGATATTCACTTATCAGAATGATTGTGCCACGACAGGAGGATGGCTGCTCAAACGAGGGCGATGTTAGCGTGAATTCTACACGACCACCTACCTACGGCTAAACAAAAGTTCTCCAGTAGGTTTCAACTGTCTGTGGCGCTCCCTACTGGGAATACCCGAGAGGCAGGTCAATCGACCAACAGGACCCTGGCGGTCACCGAGCCGCTGAATCCAGTGCTCCCCCACTTTGATGTGAACTCACCAGGACAGACGGACAACCATTGCAACAGAATTGATGTATTCCTTATTCGTCTCGTCCGTGGTGAGTGCAATGGTTGCCAGGCGGACAACGTCCTGCCTTAAATAGAAAATAATAGGAGTTTTCAGCGACCTTGTGAGTAGTATGTCAGCTCTAGTCAACAATAATGTTTCATTTAGTATCTATATAAGCAACAAGATAATTATTGTCACGGGACAAAACATATTTCCTGAACTAAGAGATTGCCCATGTGGATGTTCATTGAAATCCCGAGGTTTCAAGTTACGCAAACTCGGGACTTCAACACAAGTTGCTTTAGCTGTTGGAACCGGTGCCAGCCACCATATGCCTTCTTGAAGTGACATGCTGGGCTTCCGTTATAGGCATTCCGAACAGTCAAACCAGCATAGTCCTCCAAAAATCAAACGCTCCCCCTCGCGCTCATGGATAGCATATAAAGTAGGTTTGACGGCCCTACCTGAAAGCAGCTTTGATCTGAACGTGAAATCTAGAGACCATCGGTGAACTATCTGTGTCAAACTGGTAATCATTCACGGCTTGATCTCAAGTCACCGAATCTCAGGTAAGCAAAGGCTTCCGTACATTTGGCTTCCAAAATCTCGTGACGTCTAGTCCCAAACCATCCAATGAATGTGGCTGGTCAATAACTAACAAAAAACACCTATGTCACACCTCATATAACGAAACTGGTATGCGATTCCTGGCTTGTGAGAAGCAAACAAAATCAAATGGTTTCACGAGAATCATGGAAACTAGGAATTGAAACCCGATCTGTCCGAAAAGCAGTTGACAGAAGAAGCTAAATTTACATACATAAACGCTCAAGATTTTCCATCAGAGTTGGGCTGTGAAGAGAAATTATCGGACAAATAGCCAGAGCTCGAATTTTAATGTGTTTTTGAAATTTCGGGCCCCGTAGGTTTCTTTGATAGAAATGACATTCTTGGCTGAAAGGTGGATTAACAATAATGGTTTTATGCAGGACTATGTTTACCTGTCTTCATGGTCTAATTTGTCACCTGTGTAGCACCTTCACCGGCTGAAGCGAGACAGCCCATCATTCGTTTGGTCGGTTAACAAAAGGATGGAAAGTGGATTGCTCTGAGGGGTTGTTCAGATACTCTGATGGTGTAACTGCTGGGGACACTCATCAAGGCAACCTTTGACGACGTACACACTGTAGAAGATAGATTGAAGTTGGCCGGTCGAGATTTCGTGAAATGCATACTTTGAATTAAAAACGGATACTTTTGACATTTGAATCTAGTAACTTGACATGTCATATTCAAGCGATGTCCCCGAAGGTCTGAGTTATGCATTGATAATCGGTTCTAGAAGGGATGTGATAGCATAAGAGCTATTCGCACTGTGGGTTTCCGTAAGTGAGCGAATCTATTTCCAACGAACAAAGCAGTCAGCTCGTGTATGGATGCAGAGAACGGGTGAGTATTTCTTGATCCAGTACAAACCAATAATGCATTCACAAGATGCGGTCCAGTGTGACATTGGATTTTCTATGAAGCAATGGAGGACCAGATCCTTCCAGGAGATACCTTAGTATCCCATCTGGGCAGTAGGCTTTTGAGATGTCTTCAGGAAGTGTAATGAACAGCCAAAGTCCAACAGCACGATCACTCCCAGGTCAATGTTGCGTCTAGTTCCTCCCGAAGGAGTTAATCGCCTAATTTATATGGCTGCTGCGCCTAGCGATATATTTGTATTCGGTAACCGATAGATGGTTATGTTTAGACCGACGATGGATTGTGTTTCGGCGATTCTATGGCTGAGGAAGGTTGTTCTTCGACTGCCATATCCACCAGATTTAGACAACATGAAGCTGGTCCCAGCGCACTGTGGAAAATCTTTCTGGGTGGTTCGAAACGGCTGTGAATTGAGTATGGAGCCTTCCGACACACCGAAGGGTGCCTCCAAAATGTCTCTAAGTGCACTGTTTGGTCATACTTGCGCTGTCCTTGATTACAGAATGTATTGCTTCAATTCCAGCCTAAAACCGCCCAGACGGGGCTTTAGAAAAGCCCAGGTATAGCGTATCGACGTCTTGTCCACCATTTCGACCTTGGAGTATGAGCTAAGCAGCAGATTCGTTGCACATGAATCTGAGGAGAACATTCCGGGTCGCATCTTCGCAGTCTTACCTGTTTCCTTAAGGTACCGTAAAACAATGATCGAGAAAAAGCGACTCCGTGAACGTTGAGAGCACCGAGCCCGTCACTTCTTTCGTGGGTGGTTTCATTGGTTAGGAATCAATGTGTGCCTTTGGAAATATTCGCTGTGTCTCGGGGCTCTCTGGTGAGCGGTTTTGCGCACGTCCACTTCAACTGCCAAACAAGCCCTGTGGACTTTATTTTACAGTAAATCTGGCAGAGTATAAGACAAGCTCTCAAGGCCACCAGGTGTACTCCTAGTTTATTCATCCCTGTTCAACACAGTACAGTCCTTTTTTAAATATAAAACACAAGGCAGCTGTTCAATGGATCAGTGCATGCACAGAACTCACGTTGCTTGTCAAGACAGTTCGAAACTCAAGATGGCTCTTTAGTTAGAGGTCGAATTTACTAAGGCAGCTGTTCAATGGATCAATGATTTGGTACGCACGGAACTCACGTTGCTTGTTAAGACAGTTCGAAACGCACGATGGCTCTTTAGTTAGAGGTCGAATTTACCGACCCGAAAGTCCGGGGTTCGAACCCCACCTTTGCCTCTCGACTTCCCCTACATAGACCTGGGCAACCTGGCAGTATCCCAGCCCTCGTGCAACCTTTGGGTGGCATGGCAGTTAGGGACCGAAAAGTTGCTACAGCTGAACGATTTTTTTACGTGCGCGATACTCACGGATGTAGCCAGTACCAATTCTGAACCACAAATTTATTGTTCCTGAATGTTTAAATCTCCTGGGCATCCAGTACAAGGTAACAAACTGTCCGCTTCTCGGTCGGTTCCACTCAGTACGCGTCTGAGCAAAACATGTTCTGTGTGGTAGACTGTCTTCTAACCTTCTAACCAGTAGAGCCCGTGAAACGTGAGTAGCCTACCCACTGGATACACCGATGATCAAATGCTTAGAATTTTTGGACATCCACTGAGCGTAAAAGCCATATTTCTGATCCATAAAGCAGTATGCATGGCATTGAGGCAATGCATACTTTGCCTTTGATAGACAAAATGACTTCACGCCATTGCCATAGGTATCGGCTGTTGGCAAAGGTTGCCGTAGCCTTCCCAATTCGAAAGGTAACCTCGCCTTCAATTAACCCACTGGGACGGTTCATAAATGACCAGATAGCGATAGTTGAGTACATAAAAAGACCCCTTACTTCACACTTGAGCATTACACTGAGTGCTCTAAGGTCATATGTGATAAAAAGTGGGAATTTAGGGAGACTTCTTAGAAGATTGGGAATCAAAGTGAGCGCTAAACCAAGTCAGTAGGTTTTTATATCATGAAATCAAGAATCAAGATTAGTGAGGTTCAGGAATTGGCAAAAATTTCTCTTTGGATGGTCATTTTGACAGTAACCAAATAGGCGACTTTTTACGGACTAGGCTTTTGTCTGTGGATCAGACAGGACTATCGCGATCGATTCCTGTATCGGGTCACCTAACGATCAATCATCCTTATTTAAAGGGTTATCACGGCAAACGAGCGTATTGCATCATAACCCAAGCACTTCAGTTAACCAAATCACTGCTCAGCTCACGGATTTTTCGGTTGTCGGACTCTCTTGCACAAAAATATGGACATGGACCAAAGTTATCACCGGTCCAAAATGGGTCTTTCACCTCCATATCTGCCAACTCATAGGCATGGGAATAATGCCCTAAATGGCCTGCGCTGAGCCGCAGACGCAGTCAACCGAATTCCTTGGACTCGATGCCCACCCGAAGGAATAGGTCCGGAGAAGCTGCAGGAAGAGCATCTTTCAAACCATGGTTATGTTCATTTGCTGGAGCAAAGTTATCAAGGTCAAGTGGGGACGGGTGAACAGATGAGGCCCACTTACGTTCATTTGAAGTCATTCAGTTATTGATCGAGGCTAATCACGACAAAGAATGGCAAATTCTGCCCTTTGGTGATGCATGCTTTTCGGAGGACAACAGCTTAACCTGTAGATAACATTGCTGAGGTCTCCAGAAATTAGTGGCATCTCTTCGGAATGACTTATTTCAGGTAACATTGCTGAGGTGGCATCTCTTCGGAATGACTTATTTCAGGAGGTACCGCAACTTGTAACTATGGCAGAGATTGGTGTGACGAGATACAAAGCAGAGCAGAGGTTAACCAAATAGGAAGTTCATTATGGCTCTATGCACTTAATGACCTCGAGCGGGCTAGGTGGTTAGGGCACAACCTTGATGACAGAAAGGTCCGGGGCTCGAATCAAGCCTGAATTCCTACTGCTCCAGACTAGGCCTGGGCAGTATCTCAGCCTCGTGCTTCCTTCAGGTGGCATGGCCCCTGGCCAAAAAAGGATGCTTTTATTGCTATTTTATCCGCTAACTGCTCTCACTTCCTTAATTAACCTCCATAGATATAAGTAAAGCTCAAAAATCATATTTCTTGCTTCATAAGTAACCGAAATGAACTCAACAACAGCTAGGAGGTGAGCCAGCATTTTGGAAAAGAGAGCTGCACACAGTTCGAGAACATGGGGTGAAACAAATTATGTTTAGAAACGGTAAAGGTTCTTTTTTTCCACATTGATTCTAAATGCTCTTATCTTAGTTAATTCTTTTTCATATACAGTTCTATGCATCCGTGTATACTTCTGCTGTGGGATTTTAGAATCCTAATCTTGCGTATTATGACGTACTACTGAAAATAATGACGCTCGGAAATGCAGCAGACTTTATCAACAAAAAATACATCATGTCTGCTGTGCGACTGAAGTACTACTCAACTTCTGTCATACTCCTGCGTGATTTCGTATCGCTACACAAAACGATTCCTTCTTCTAGGTGTATTCATCCCACATTCGCTCTCCGAGGCATCTTCTTCCAGAGTCCTATTTACTGGACTGTCATACTTCCTCGTTGTGTATCAAATGATTCAGCTTGCAACCAGGTGGAGCGCTTACTGGGCATAACGAGTGATCCTTCTGTTAGGTGAGCATGTTCTCACTTCTTAAACGGAGTGGCTTGCCGTTGTGTACTTGAGTTATCATTGGTAGGGCTCGTAATGGGTGCTACCTCAATCCCATTGGTGCCCAAACGATCCTTGTCGAAATGGGAAATCACCCGCAACCTCCTTCCCCAAGAACATGTGGCTTCGGGGCTCATCACTGAACCTTTCTGTCTCGCGATTCTTCACTTTATTTCTAAATGTTGCGGAGTGTGCTTGCGTCTGATGACTAGGTTTGTCAAAGCTGCCATTCAGTTCTTAAATTTCGCTATAGTTTCTCCATGAGGAGAAAATTCCCTTTGCCCTGAAACGAATGGTTGAGTCGACCTCTCAAAAGCCGGGAACTTCTGAGGAAACTTCGTGGGGAACGCCTACTTTGAACTCTCCTCTTGTTTATGGGACGGACGCTTTTAGGGTGAATAATATTACAACAAATAGAGAGGCCGATGAAATGCGTTGGAAGCACAGCAGTGATATCCGTCAATGAGAGTGGAATAATGCCCACTGTAAAAAAGGGTTTGATATTTTGTTGCAATAATAATTGCTCAACCTTCACTGTACTACAGTTCAGGACAAAAATAGAGAACAAACGGTAAAACGCCACGTTAACGAGCCTAAAACTACGTGTGAATAACTAACCTGCAGCGTTTCATGAATATGCCACGTGTACTAAGACCTTTCACTGATTGGCTACTACTCTCACGGGCTTACACGAGGGACGTGGCAGCAGTAGGGTTTTTTGTTTGATATCCAGACTATAAACAATCGATTAGGTGCAGTTTTTCACTGGCTTGTCTGAAAATGACAGACAAATTTCAGGTTGAAACTATTCACAAAGTAAACAGTCTGCCCAGAGGACGAAACTCTTCTCTCTCTCTCACTCAAACGAAGTAGCGATACGCGATCGATATAAATACAGTCTAGAAATCAGGTCGATCGATTAACGGACACCTTTTCATGTTTCTCAGATCGGAAGAGTTATGTATGAATTCAGTTAATGCCATCGTTTGCAAAAATGAGCACTTCGATTTATTATCTAACAGAAATGTGCACGTTTCTAGCTTCAAGGAGTAGACAAATGAAAACTATCGATTTTTGTTTGAATAGTCCATTGCACAGATGTGTCCATCAAGGTCATTCAAAATGTGTGTAAAAAAGGTGGATAAACCTTAAGGATGTCTCTTCGTATTCATGAAAAGTAATCTTCAGATAGAGAGATGAGCCTGTTCTTCGGATTGCAAATATTTAATGACGGATGCAGGTACCACACTATCTGATACTGATAAACACATTGTCCTAAACACTATTTGAGAACAGCTTGGTTGTACCGCCTTAAAGTTTATCTCTTCGAAAATGAAGTCATAATCCAACGGGCCTGTTCAAACTTTAGCGAAATACACTCATTCGCGTGGTGATTTGACGAGAAACTCACCTGAAACCCAGCCGAATCTCTCCTTTATCATGTTAAAACATTGTCTAATGGTCACCATACATTTGAACAGGCCTATTACGGGCAGGTGGGATCAGTAACCGACGACGTTGTCATTACTGCTGGAAAACTACTAATCAGTTTTGAGTATCATTGTGACGAAAGGCCTTTGTGATAAAGCAGTAACAATTTCATGCACGAATGAATTTTCGAACAAAGTACATCCGGTTCATGTTGTCGCTCTACTGGTTAAAGGCTATTCAATGAAAGTCAAATTGAACCTGCATTTTATACGGATGAACAGTATTCCATTCCTATTTGTAATGTACTACTCATAAGGTTGCTGAAAATCCATCGACAGCCCACGACCGGTTTCGCCCTTCTGCTTTGGGCTCATCAGTTAGGCGCAGTCCCCGGGTTTCCGTCAACCTTATGTTCTACTTGAAACCAAATTGCACGAAATTAGCGAATATACACTCATCTGCAAACTAATTTGGTTCTTTCGAGAGACTCACCTTGGTATCTGGGCTTCGGCATGTGAGCCTTTGAAGCCCGTACGAGCTAGTAGTAAGTAGTCAAGGTGAACAGGTTAAAGTACTGGTGAAAGGAAGCAAGCCTTTACTGGGAAGTTATTAATTAGACAAACAACAACTGAACAGTTACAGACTATTTAACAGGGAAGCAATTCTCTCATATGTATCTTGTTTATAAAAACTGAATATCCATCCTCTCTTCGAACGCGTCTTCCCGAACTTTTCTGGATATCCATTGACTGTTGCTCAAATTCAAGCGATTCCACGAATTCCATAATAGATCTCACTTTTCAAGAGACGCAAAGCGGATTTACGGGAAAACATACTACTCGCATGCCTCCCCCGTCAGTAGTATCACCGTTACACTTGTATATCCATTCCATCTAAACAATTTGTGATTGCTTCAAATCAAAGATTCTGTAGATGAAACTCAGCCTGTTTGTTTTGTATTCCAATTTTCGTCTCTGCCGAGTTGCTTGTCTACAGTCCAGAAAGCAATTTATTCTACTGTGGGTGGAGATCGTTTCCTCTTTGCACAGTAATCCCCCGGGTGTCCATATTCCTCGAATTTTCCACAATTTGAGGAATAACTCAGCATGTGGTAAACGTGGTTCAAGTCAGTTTTACATTATTGTGCTATCAAATCCAGATTGGGTAGTGCTGTATGTTAAGAATTAGCTATTTTCTTGAAGGTCGCTCGTCCATGAAACATTGTCCAGTCATACAACAGTTCACAAATAGTGGTCCTAACATGGCCAAGCAACTGCCGTTCAAACGTATTTACCGGGTGAAGCATATGCTATAACCTAGCGCACATTTGTTTCCATTCAGTCCAGACTGAAGACCCAGAGAATATGACCAGCAATCAGACGGATGGAGGTCACATGATGTAGGTCAATGTCAGTCAACTGTGGCGCTATAATCTACACGCTACTACACTACTCACTACAGTCTACGGGAATCCCAACGGACAGTCTTCATCAGGATTGCAGAGTCACCGCCCGATTACTTCAAGACACAACCAGGCGGTTGAGACTGCTTGTACTATGTCAAACTATAAATGATTAGATCAGTGGAAACTTTGAACCGATAAGCAAAGGCAAACAAAGCAGCAATATTCATTCATCCTGTCAGTGAAGCCAGTCTATGTTGAAAAGCCGAGAAGCACTATACAGCGGTTTCATCCTTACATGGGATAGCCAACAGTGCGCATCTCACAGAACTCCAAAGTGTCTCGAACTGGCGACCTCCTGGCTGGTCGTTTGAACACCTAAACGTTCGGTCACGACTGGCTGATCAGCAATATGATACGCTCTCACCTAGATGCAATATAGCGCTAAAAAGACACGTCTAAGGCTAAACTCGAGCCACTAACCTACCGTTTCTGTCTGATTCCTGGAACTTTACAGAGGAGCCTTTTGAGCATGTGGTTGATACTAACTTGTAATCTGTTGTGTAGGTCACACATGATGCTTACTAACGCTTACAACAGATACCAGCCTCTTACTTATTAGGTGTTTAAGCACTTGGGAGAGCAACCCTCTCTGGTGGTTTAGCCAGTAAAACATGCGTCTACTATGCGGGAACCGATTGATCCTTAAATGTTTTTTTCTTCCACGCTTCGATTTCTTTCAGTACCCATCTAACCTCAGTGCACTTTCTGACAAAACGCTCTACTCCACTGATTAACATTGATTAACTGATTCACTGATTAACCATTGCCAGATGGCCAATGAGAATATGTCATTGATTTTTTTAAAAAGATCGGCAAGCATCACCTTGTAACCCTTGGAACGCCGAAAATCCATTAATTGCACTTCTCTTAAGTGAGATTTTACAGCTTCTACTGACACGAAAGCATCAGATGCCTTCCACATGTTTCCGAGTTTCAGTTAGTTTACCTTCCAAGATAGATTGAGCCAGTTGGATACCGATGCGTCCTCAGGAGGACTAGCAAGGTTACGATTAGTAAAACTAATGATCGATAGTGGTCGTCCACTGAGGATGAGATATCAATACATAGTTTTGACTTGTTTAGAAAGTGTCGGACAAGCTCCTAGAACTAAAATAGGATGCAACGTGGAGCTGTCCTCTGTGTTCTTATCTATGTTTAATATCGTTTTATTCCTTAAAACCCACATCTATATGATCCACCCATAAATTCACAAATGATCGACTTTCGGGAAGTTGGTGTCGAGGTTTCTACCGTCAGTTCTCATCAGCAAATATCTAGGAAAGAGTACAAATTGATGACCTTGGACATAGATTTCTTCTGAATATCAAACGATGTTGTTGTCAAGGGAAATTGTGCGATTCGCTTTCCGTAGCGCACTTCGTCCCACAGGAATTCTTTCACGTACTCGAGTTTTCAAACTATTCCCTATGAGGGTGATGAAAATTCTGATGACTGAATTGTTCCCTCGACTGCTCCACTATGAGTAGAAGCAAGTGGTTTCAACAGAAATCAATAGCCACTGATTGGTGGGCTTGGTCCTTTCACAACTGTTTTGGTGGAAAAGACTTAGTTCACACAAGATACTTCACGAGTTAGTGGTTTTTCAGAGTAGAAAGGCTAGGTGAAAGGCCCAGGGTGGCATGCTTTCACTGGTAATTGTCGGTTATTTAATGGGGAAACTCTAATGAGTGTCTACTGTAAAGATGTCTATCAATCCACTACTTCAAAAGATTTACATTTCAACTTATGTTTACCAAGCATCAAACTAACTTCCTCTTTTGCCTTCCAAGTGAAGTGACCTTTTCAAATGAGGTCACCATGGTAGCAAGATAACTCTAACTCTTATTTTTTTTTTTTTGGGGGGGGGGGGGGGAAAGCAACCAAGATAAGCGTACACCTATGTAGCAGCTGATCGGTGGTGACTGCTGTGAACTAGCTGATGCAGTTGCTCTTCCTTCGATGTGACTATTTCCATAAACCACCCCTCTGTAAGAACATCTCATAAGCTAAGGACAATAGTCAGAACTGTGGACCAAGCTCCCTTCTGTGATACAGTTACCCTTTTAATATAAGTACATTCACTTGGTCTTTCAAAGTTTATGAAAAGTTTATGTTTATGCTTTCGCCCGGTTTGATTTGGTTTCTAGAGATGAAGAGATACCATCCGTTCAAAAAGGTGTCGACGGAAACTCATCAGGTGCGTTTACAACAAAAGCCTCGAAAGTTGGCATTTTTATCGCGTTATAAATTAGGATTCAGCAAACACCAAGATTAGTAGAGCTACCACAACATGGTGCTCCATTTTTTGCATAAAAATCACTCCATCTGTGCCATATCTTGAAGTGGTGTTGCTGACAGTGCCTGCTGACTAGTACGGTTTTGACGGGAGACTCGTTTGTGATGTTCTCCAGCTGTATGTGCGGCGCAAAGGCCTCAGCAGCGGTGTGTATCATCGGAAAATGCACTGCGATATCTTGAATACCGTAGCAGCTGAATCATGAGGCGGTCTTTCTATAGTACATTCAGTTGGAGAATATCATAAAAAAGGGATTCAAATTGGATTGGATCGAGTCATCCATTAAAACGAAATGGGCTTGCAAAAGTGTATTTCATAGACTGTGTCCAATTCGAGTTCCAGGAGGACAGATTTCACGGGAATTCAGGGAATGCGCCACACGATGACTTCCAAAGTCGGCGAACCAGGTCTCCGGCTTTCTAAGAGTTTTCAGTGACTTCAAGAGCAATATTCCATCAATAATGCACTACTGAAGGTCACCAGCTTTGTTCAGATTATTTGTTCAGTATTCTCCCAATCTATGAAACTCCCTGAAGTGGATAATGCTGCGACTGACTTCTTGGGCGCTGTGAAGCCCATAATGACTGGAAGACAAACACTTAAGTGTCACGGCTTAACACTCTAGCAAGAACCTAACGACAAGTGTGCAATTGACTAGCAGTTTCGTTTGCGACCTCATCCTAATTTTGCTTGCCAGCGATGCGCACCGCCTTGTGCCCATCTGAAACAAGCTCGTGTACAGCAAGCGGTAGTAAATTTGAAGCCGAAAGCAGTTTATTGATCGGTTAACTTGTGAAATGACAGCAAGGTGATTAGTCTGGTAACTTCTCATGGGGGATGCTTGACTTCGCCCCAGATTAGCAAAACGGGACGAAACAATCGAAAAGTGGCAAATGATGACGTTCTTAACTACTGTACAATGCAAAGCGTAGTCCAAAACGCAGTGTGCAACAAAAAGCTTGGGCTGAAAATCCATATGCCTAAAGAAGGAATGTCCAAATGAGGAAATTTCTATTCCTGAGACTGAGTGGAGCATCCATCAGAAGCAGGATGCGGTTATCGGGTGATAGATAAGTAGAAAACTGTCATTTGGTAGCTCTAGATGACCGCATATTTCGTAACTGCCACGAATTTATCTGTCCATAATCACAAGCTTGCACGGCTTGAAATTGTTGCACGGAAAAAATTTCATGTTCATTTAATTATGCCGTTATACCTAAATGGTCCGTTCTTGTGACAGCAGTTTTCTTGGTGGCATACCTTTGACAGCGTCCCACTCTCTCATTCGAATCAAATGGACACGACCCAGCCACGTGAATCGGTTTTTTTCTCTTTCTGCAAGAAATGATAACTCAGCCAATCAGAAGGCTTGCTTTGTGAACGTGGCTAGTTTTGTGTGGCCAGATAAGCACGGCAAATGTTATGTTGACACGCAAGTGAAAATAAGCTACGTGGAGAGATATCGTCTCGTGTGTTCTAGTCATGACCGTAAAAAACCTGAATTTGTCCTGATTTGAAGGTCGTACTGAAGACCTGTAAACTGCTCACACACGCAAGTGGTATGATAGAGAGTCGAGACCAGAATTTTTAAATTAATAAGGATATTGATTGTTCAAAGCGCAGTTAAACGCTGATGACTCAGTCGGTAGGAGGTCAATACCACTGTACCAGAGTACCTACATGCTCAAGAAAGGACAGAGTTACCCTCAATCTCTCCAGATTTCGGTCAATACCCCGGAACCAGATACCTACATGCTCAAGAATGGACAGAGTTACCCTCAATCTCTCCAGATTTCTGGGTGACAGGTGACTGACAGTATTGACAACACCAGTAAACACGAAGCTCCTGGTAGTGGGGTTAACTTTCTTAAGTTTTATTTTTTAAGGAGAAATCTCGCTTGTTTTTACACGTTTTTCTGAAAGATCGAGCTGTTGCAGTTTTAGCCTGGCACCTGTGGTACGGCACAAACCGGGGCACTTATCTGTTATCGTATGACCAGATTCGTCACTATAAAGTCTAAACTAATTATAACGTGAGAGATAGCGTGACTGTGAGTGTATATCAACTGCCAATGTTTGTTGAACAACATATATGAGTACCTTGATTGGTTCAGTATCGTTCACCTTGTTCCAAGAGAAAGTGCTGCTATTAGCACTATCAAGTTGTTATTCAAACCCACAATCGAATCATTCTAGTTCGAACTGTCCTTCTTCTATTTTGGTGCAGTTATACTTTTGAGTCCACACCAAATGGGGGAAGCATCAGACTCGAGTTTCCTTCTTATTAGGGCTCATTCAAAGTGCATGACTGTGAATTCGTCGGGACCCCGGATATCTGGCATACGGGGCTAGTGTGTCACCACTATCCCCTCGCAACGCACGCTGGACGCACCTGAATCACCAATTCTGAACAAGCAAACGTATGCACCAATTTACCAGCTCGCGCGTGCAATGCGCAGCTACCTATCCCCCCAAATCATCGGTGAACGAAACTGCGGCAGCTACAACCAGTGTACGACGAGTACGCGGTTCTTACAACTGACAATGATGATGATGATGATTCACCGTTCAGCAATACGACCGTTCACATGCTCGGACACCATGATTCTCGGGTTATGGATGCTCGGTATGCCGACGATCGAACCCGTTGCTATACTGGACATGTGTGTGGCCTTTATTTTGAATACCGTTGAAAGTTGATTTATCACAAACAGTGTCTTCATGTTGTGAAAACTGTCGACACCTGTGGGGGATGGCCAAGACAACAGTTGTGACAACGAAAAGGACCAAGGAGTTTTGACAAAAATGGTGTATAAATCTGCCTTCCTCAAAAGTTGCATGCTGAAGACTTATGACAGGTTTTCCATCGACACTCGATCTCTAGGCTGGCTGCCGCTTCATGCTTGTTGCGTTCAGTTTGTCCTAGGAAATAGCATGTCTGTGTGGATCCTGTTTCCTGGACTATAAAAACGCCTTCGGTAACATCGACTGCGTTGTACTTTAGGAGCTGTTTGCAGTAGGTGAAACTGAATAGAGTTTCCTCAGGTCAATCCACAGTCGTTTCACCGACTGCATGGCCTGCAGGGCAGGAGGTCCGCTTCCTCGACACCAGTGCACCATTTTGTCTTCGGTCTTGCGACAAATACACTCATTTCCAAATAACTTTGATTTTCACAGGAGACTCAAGTTAATCTGTCTCCGATATTCTTCAACGGAATGTGCTCTCACAACGGTCGCCTCATATTTCACCTGGTAAGATATTCGAGATATCGCGGTATATTTTCATAAAGGAAACTATTCACAAGGTTGCTGAAAATGCTTCGACAGTCCACGACCGGTTTCGCTCTTCTTGGGGCTCATCAGGTAAGTGCAGTCTCTGGGTTTCCGTCAACCTTTGACTGACTGAGACAAATACACTCATTTGCAAATCAGTTCATCCACGTGCCCATTACTGATTCCCTTATTGATCGTATGTGAACCTGCAGTATTATGATGGACTTCATTGGCCACTCTCCTGAGGCAATTAGGTGTTATAAAAATGACTTGAACAAACTCGTGAAGTGATCTTAGGAACGGTTTCTATCTCACACTGCTCGTGAATGTAATCACGTTATATTTGTAATGATTACGGACAAGATGCATTAGGACAAGCTTTGCAACTTTCCATCGACGACGCGCCCCTTCCGAACGTGTGAACCGCTTTGGATTAATTCAATCAAGAATCCTCGTTTGGTTCCCTCTTGTTGATACAGTCTTCATCAAGATCCAACGATGGACATTTTGCTCAATCTGGCTGAGGATTTTAGTTGTACCAGAGTACACTATAATGAGTTTCACTTCCACGCGTTTCTTCCCAGACCGAAAGTATTGTTCAACTGTTTTATTCTTCGAACTCCCTAAGAAGAGCGTTCAGCTGTAGCACCCTTCCGGTGCCTAACTGCCATGCCACCCGAAGGAAGCACGAGGGCTAGGATACTGCCAGGTTGCGCAAGCCTAGACAGGGGAATTCGAGTGGCGGAGGTCGGATTCGAACCACCAACCTTCCGGTCAGTAAATTCGCGCTCTAACCACTTGGGGACCACAATTCATAACATGACCCGACTTCAAGCGATTGTGTGTTCTCACTGCGACCTTTTCTTTCTCTGGTTTCCCGATATCTTGTTAAGAGTACCTTAGGAAAAAACTGCACGAGATCAGAGTTACTTGTCTGCATCGTGCCCTCAGTCTCAACATATTTTCATCTGTGTGATTGTTCAGGAGTTGTATATAAGACTTTGCTGAAAGTTTCGTCACGTACGTGAGGCTAGTCTATGCTGAAATACCGAGAAGCACATCAGTAGAGTGCAGCTCAAGGAATTGCAGAAAATCTCCAAGCTGCGACCTTCCGCCTAGCAGTTGAACACTTAACCTTTCGGTCACCACCAACTGATCAAGACTGTTAATAACTAGTACTTGGACAGGACACTGACCATTTTCAATCACGGGGTGCACATCACATGGTCACGCATATCAATTGACTCCTTGAGCACCTACTCCTCGGATAGAAGTTTCACTCACTAGGTGAATTTTTTTCTTCCTCAGAGCTACTTATGGATTGTTGGTAGTGCGATAACATTTGGAAATTTTAATGGGAATTTCATCCTTTAAATGAGTCCAATCTGTGTTATGGTTCTCGAATTTTCGGTGCATATAGTAACCTCACTTACACCACCGAAAGCCAGAGTACGTCATTCGGTCAAATAAACCAATGCATTGGGTGATACTGCGCTGCCAGTTATCGACCAGTTCAGTTGTGGAACCCGTGTTGTGATTAGTGTCACTGTATTGAGTGCATTAATTATGGCGTAATCCATTATGCACTTGTTAAAAAAGGGTTGTGAGGAGATCTGCCCAAATAATATACCGAGATAGAATCGAATTTTTAGGTAAGGACAGAATAGATTCCATTTTGGTTCTAGCCGGAATCCAAAGATAAAAATTCATAAATAAAATAGACGTTCGATTGGTGCATGGCTTCCATGCTACCCGAAAGAATCATGAGAGCTGATATATTATTGAGTTACATAAGCCTGGATGGAAGCAGTGAAAATGCCGAGGTTGGGCTCGAACCACGGACCTTCCGACCAGTAAGGAGCCACTAAGCTATCTCGAGCTCCAAAGTTAAAGAAATCAAGCCGATTTATTGACTGGCTGACTAATTACATCACAGATTTATGTACTCACTTCTTGTGGATCAAGCAAACGTTTTTGGAGATACAGCTAATCATCAGTCAAATGTGCTTCTCGAATTTAATCAATTCATTAATGGAGATCACCTCATTACGATCACAGTTACAGACTATGTGGTTCACAAATTAGTCCATTCTTCGTTGACCGTGACCAGCATTCATGCAAGCAGCTTGTCTCATCTTCCTATACATTAAAAACCCAGCTGTATCACTTTCGGTGCCCAGTCATCATGGCATCCTCCTCGTCCCCGATTCCCAAGTTCCAGTTTGAAACTAATTGATTCTGCTTCATAGAGCTCCACTCAACAAGCAGGTTACACGAACGAGAGATGTACTTCAGTCATACATAACACAGGTCGTTCCGTTTGTTGATTGGTTATCTGTTTTGATTATCCTCATCAAGGGAACACATCGATTTCATGGAGTCCTGATTCAAGGCCAAACCTGTATCCATATTATATTCCTTCGACATTTGTCAGGAAATAATGTGGCAAAGCTCGCATCGGGACTCAGCCCAAGTTACCCCATGCTAGTTTTCAAGTTCTGGCTGGTCACGAAATGGGAACTCTCTACATTGAATCCATAAATTCTGGTGAGAGATTTAGCCTGGTCAAACCCTGTATGGACATCAACGCATTTTCAATGAACCAAACCCAGTGAAAAACATATGAATATTGTCACCAGAGTGAAGAGATTCGAAAATGTTTAATGAAGTTTTGATTCTGCAGGTGAAATCTCTATTAAAACGTGTTGGTTGCTTTCGACAGGACTCTACTTATGGGGTTGACGGATACCCTTCAACGGCCGTCTAACTGTCTCAACTTTTCTGATCTTAGCAAGTGGATGTAGGCCCTGAGTATCAAAGGCGAAGTTCACTTAAGCGTTCGGTTAGCATTACCTTAATTTGTGTTCATCCTGTACTTCCTAAAAATATGGTGGTCCCATGCTATATAAGATTGGTATAAATTTGTGAACCGAGGAAGCGCAAAGTGTAAGAAACCAGAGTTTCGTCGGTCTGGTATGCAGTGTTAGGTGGAGCAAACTACCAACTGAAAAAAAGACCGGCCTTTGCGCGATGCATCCACTTATGGAATTGCGTAAGCCATAGCAAGTTAATTCGCAAGTTAATTCTTAACTCGAGATAAGGCAACAGTGCCTACTACATCTAATTCGGAACATAGATCCACTGTTAATCCACAAAACCTAATTGGACATGTGACTGTCTTTTCCAGCACATTACACCCGGATGTATAGTCCTCAAAATCAATTGCAGCGCTAAGGGGCACGTGCACATCGCCAAGACAGTCACGTGATATGATATCGATTAATTGGCGGTTACAATTGCCTAGTCTAGACATTCCACACGTTCCCTGTAAATGAGTCGGGATTGTTGTAGGGGAAATTGTAGACGTTATGAACAGGAGGATCCAACTGATGGTGGTTGAGAGGAGTCGAATTGGGCATTTTAGAGAAAAGCCAAGAAGAGCAAAATGCTTCCTCCCAGAAAGTCGGAACTATTGGCGTGCAATTAGTTGGCCACACTATCTTGTCCAGTAGGACTTTCTGTGAGCTAGTGAACGCAACCGTTTCTTTGAAAAATAGTCTGCTGATGGCTCAACAGACCTTGGGCACTAAAACACAGGGGAACCTCGTGGTGTGCCTCAGCTGACTACGAAACTGTTCCAATACGGGACGGGCAGTTTGTTTTCAATCTAACGATTACCTCTTACTTAAGAAGACTTCCTTCTGTAATGCACTACTCATAAGGTTGCTGAAACCGCTTCGACAACCCACGACCGTTTTCACCATTCTGCTTTGGGCTCATCAGGTAGGCGCCCTCTCCGAGTTCCCGTCAACTTTATGTTCTACTTGAAACGAAATTGCACTAAATTAGCGAATATACACTCATTTAATTTGGTTTTCGAGAGAATCACCTTGCACCCAGCTGAGATTCAGCTGGGTTATGTACATTCACGCCGGTAAACAAGGAGTGCCCATGTAAATGCGCATTGGTAATGTCCTCTCATCTGCTGATGAAACGTTTGCTAGTTAATTACCAACCTCAGAAGACAGACCAACAGCCACCTGATCAACAAGTGACAAAAAGCCTCGTAACACAGATCTGATACTCAGAAAACAGACCAACAGCCACCTGATCAACAACTGACAAAAAGCCTCGTAACACAGATCTGATCCAACCGTCTGTTCTGCAGCACCAAGTCATACAAACTGGTCCTCGTAATCATAAAGACTGATATTGAATGAGTCCTCGTCATGGCATTTGTGATTAGTCATCGTTTAAGGATGTTTAAAACCGTGCTAATAAAGTCCTGTTCAAACTGAGAGATTTTATTATGATCCAAAGTCGCTTGAATATCTGTGAGACGATGAAGAATTTAATCGAAGTAAAAATAATTCCGGGTTCCTCTGAACTTGGTACTTTGCGGACGATTCTCCAATTAATGAAGTCGCTTTTTGGTATCCATGTATTCGGAACCTGAATCTCACCGCTTGTCAAAGGTCGGCATTTAACTCCCAAACTGAATTTCGATTTACCACTCAGTGAGTTTTGAATGAATATACTCTTTAAGTCAATGTGCTCAGGAAAAAACAACAACGAAGAGGTGCCTTGTGAACTTGAAGAATGTTCAAGAAGTCCTTTCAAGGTCAAAATGAAATACCTGGCTTTCCTAACCAGAAGAGGGACAAAAAAGAGAAATTAGCGTGTTCTGTTATATGCTATGTAGAGTGGGTGAGTTCACTTAATGGATCCTAGGGTCATGCAGGTGTGAATCACTTCGCCTTTGCACTTTTACTTGACAGGAAACAGTTGCATGTCAGCTAACAAGAAACACGAAACAAGGGACTTTGTAACAGGCGAACAAATTGCATTATCTCAGGACAGCTTAGAGCCGGCTTGAGCCGATTGACAGTTCTTTGAGCAGGCACTCCGGGTCTCACAGGTAAGCTTAAATTAGAAAAGTCAATGTAACCCAGTCTTGTACCGACCCAGGCATTCCTCGGAACATGTTTACTTTCTCGTCATTCAACCGAACAGAAAGACATCAATAATCCCACGGCATGTGATAGATATCGCAGTCAACAGATACCGAAAGCACGGTACTGCCTCAGTCTCGTCCGGTCGGTTTTCCTTTAAAAACCCAAACCTGGAATATTGTTTCAGTTTGTAGTCTCTGTTTGCTCACAAACTGAGCTGTAATTCACAAACAAAAGTCATGATGTCACAAGTCGTGCGCCTTTAGTACACTGTGCACTACTTTGTGCGGCCGAAAAGAAGTTCGTAGTATCCTAAATTGTTGGTGTGTGCAAAATGATAGATTGGTCTGAAAAGGCCACTAAAGGCGGTAGAGTGGTCTGATTACAGCAGCCAAGTAAGTCAATCAATAAACGCGGGTGTCCGCATTCAAATCGATTTACCGTATAGGATCTGCTCCGGATAGAAATCGCAGAACAATAGAGAGGGTTTGATCTGTCTAATCGCAGAAAATAGAGAGGGTTTGATCTGTCTCCTGTCTGCTTCTTCCAAGGGGAAATAACAAGGAAAACTATTGACAAATTTATTTACCTGGGCAGGGGTATCAGTCCCGGTTGGTCTCGTGAAAGATGATATTTCCTTCTGGAGTGAGAAGGCCAGAGCAGCATTTGTGAACCCACGTCACAGGTGGCGTAGACATGACATCAGTTTCTCTGTCAATGGTCGAGTTTACAATGCTGCGGTGGGCTCCATATTACTATATGGATCAGAAACCTGGGCGTTGCGCGCTGAGGACGTCAAAAGACTTTCATTGTTTGACGATTGATGTCTTCGGAGCATTGCCCGAATCTGGTGGGAACACCGTCTAAGCCATACTGAATGCTGTCGAATGGTATTCGGAATAAATAACTCCACACTAAATAGGTGCGCCGGCTTGGCCACGTGTTGCGCATGCCAGTTGATCGGCTTCCTCGAAGGGCTCTTTTCGCATTACCACTTAAAGGGTGGAAGAGAGCCAGAGGCGGTTAAACAATGACTTGGCAGCGAAGTATAAAAGCCATTACCAGCAAATTCAGCTGCGTTGGTCATTGCCGTCTTCCTGGATGGGAACCTCGAGACGGGCCACATTAATGGCTAGAGACACTGTCAGACATGGCCCGGTCACGCCCTCAATGGCGCTCATGCGTCCAAGCTACGGCCTTCAATGCACAGCTCCCTTCCTAATCTCCCACTTGACAGCCCACTGACAGTGCTGGATTTATGATCATCATGGTGATGATGATGACGCTGATGATGCTGCTGCTGCTGATGATGATGATGATGATGACGATGATGATGATGATGATGATGATGATGACGATGATGACTGACCTCTAATCCAACACGTTCAAATGTCTAGTTACTGTTCCGCTACTCACTGGTAAAAAAACTTGCTTTCAAAACAGGAGTTCTTGTATGTGGCAAACAGCATTCAGTAGCAAACCTAACCCGTGGTAAAGGGAGACTCAGCGGAATTCCATATTGATCGGAGAGATTCAGCAACCTACTGAGTAGTGTGTTCAGTCATAGTACATATAATGTATATCATATAGTGAGAAAGTAATATGAATGTACATTGCGAACCACAATTACCGTAAAAAATAAAAACTAGTGTGTTCAGTCATAGTACACATAATGTATATCATATAGTGTAAAAGTAATATGAATGTACATTACGAACCACAATTACCGTAAAAAATAAAAACTGAAGTAGCATAAATCAGCACATTCAGTAAAATAACGTTACTAGCGAACGACTTATCTGGGGTTAAGTTGATTTTCTCCTAAACACCGACTTCGTTTGCAAGTGATTTTAGTGCGCCAACTGCGTTCTTTGGTGTACAAATAGAACAAAAGTCTGACAGAAGCCTGGAGACTGTGAATATCTGGTGGATTTTGAAAACAGTGACAACGGCATCGAGCAGTTGAAGACTTTTTAGCAACCTTATGAGTAACACGTTTCGTCACGAGAAGAGCTCTCTTACTTTTAAGGAAACATAATATGATGATGAGTATTACCAATATTCATCCACGATAGCCTAAAAGGATCCATTTCGTAAACGATAGAGATAACGTGTGAATTGCGTTCCATCAAGCCCGAGGCTTTTCTTGCTGTAGTCCACCAGAAGAAAGCTATTGGTCATTAATCAAAACAACGCACTTTCTAAATTCGTGGCACTCAGAACAGAGGTGGCTGATTTCAACCGGGGGGCTGTTGGCGGACACTACTCCTTGCCGCTTCATCACATCAGTAGAGAAGGCGAAGAACGAAGGCAGTTTACAAAAAACGAACGTCAAAACCTGCCCTCAGTGCATCATTTTCGACCAAATTTCCTTCCACATTCAAAGATAACCAATCCAATACCAGTGAACCACGTGACCAAGGAATCTTGACTTGCGATATTGATTAAATTTGGAGTCTTTCAAGGGTGCGTTACTGACGGATCGATCCGATCGTTGACTGTGCAATGTCTCCATATCTCATCAGTGTAACATCAACAGAACTCTGAACAAATATCGGGTTTAAGGGTATGGTCGACAATGTTGTATCATTCTCTCGCATCCGTTTCTTCATTTGTGTACAGTCAGATGGTAGTATAAGGTGATTTAGTAACTCCAATCAAGTGTTTTTCAGAATAGACCGTCTTTACTTAGAGAACAAAATTATGCAGAGTTGCTGTTAGAAGCGCTTTACAAGCCTCTGTACGCAACATACGTGTACTAACTCTTAGACACAGGAAAAACGATTTCCTAAAGTCATGCTTGGAAATTCACCTCCTTGCTAATCTCACGCGCGAGGTTAGGTCCAAAACAAACGAACAGAATGTGCACACAGGGCGCCGCTGTGACTTGAGAATGGTCAACAGCACTGGCGATAAACATAAAATCGATAATTGTGCCGCCGTACTCAGTGACTAGACCCACATTAGTGAAAGTCAGTTAAGACAAACCAAATATTCATCGATTTATCATTCGTGCCGACTGGATAGGGTTTGTGCTACACAAAAGCCGCTAGTTCTATGTACGCTATAACAAGGAGCATAATCTATCGCCTTACAGTGGGAATTTTTGGCCGTATTGTTGAACAGCTGTCGTCTAGATGAAGTAGAAATTAGTCAGATTTTTACGACAACGTAGAGAGAACACAAACATAGCACCGTTACGATTTAGTTGATGTTTAAAATTATGATAGTGTGAACAGAGAAGAGTTTGATATAGTGCTATTAGTCAATTTATCGGAGATCACAATAGTTTAAACTAGTAAACATGTGAATACAGTTTACCTGGATTGTACGAGCGTATTAATTATATTCCTGGGTTTGTCCTGATGAACAGGACTCAAATGAGTAATCACTTTCTGTATCGAGTTTCAGACAGTCTCTATGACATGCTTGTCTGAGTTTCTGTTCAATCCAGAGGCATACAGCGGCAAAAGTCAATCGTCTTGACGGTTGGTTCCTGCGCTGGGTTTGAGAGACGTCAGCCAAGTACATTTAAGCCCCTAATTTGTTTTGATCTTGTGGAATAAATCTCTTCAGTACTCTACCAAAGATACTGTTCCACTGACTTGTCCTATTTTTCAAAAGAAGTTATCTTGTTCTGACAAACCGGGAGGCATTGCATAGCTGCTGAGTATTTAACCTCCGGTGACGTCGAAACACAATACCTGAAGGATAAGGACTTCATCACCACTAGTTTTCCATCCTCAGTACCTGGAAAAGCTGCGGCTAAATTCACAAAAAAGCTCCTTCTGAACAGCTATCATTCTTTGGGGCGAGTTGACACTTCAAACTACATGGAATGAGCTGCGGGATTAAAGAATGTGTTACACCATCTTCTGCATGTGGAGAGTAAGTGAACGAACAACGACTTCACAGAGGCGAAGTGCGAAATTCTCTGTGCTGACACAAAATCACTTATATACTACTGGCGAATGATATATGAATAACATTTTTTCATACTCTGAAAAGCCAGCATGATGCACCTAGAAAGTCATATGTGAGGAAAAATTCCTTGCCAATCGGGACTTCCGGCATACTGCAAACTTGAGAGACCTTTCCGTAGGCTCTTAAAGGCGAATAGATCTCATTACCAGGTCGCTTGTCTGTCATCTCCAAGGGCTGCACTTACTGGTTAGAAGACACTACCTCGGAAGAATTCAAACTAATATCTGCGGGAGACTCCACCGCGAGTTAAACTGTCTCTCCACCTGAAACTCTTCACTGTGTTGGTCAGTTAACGCTACACTGAAAGATGAGTGCAGTCGATTCACACTACTAACAAGTCCCTCGTCAGCCAAACTCCTTTGAAGTACACTTTTAGGCAGATTCCAGCGATGCACACCGTCAAATTGCTGGTGGTACTATCCCTGATGTAAATATCTGTGTTTAGACGGCTACCTCTCAGTTGTTTGCTTACCCTTTCTGAATCGGTGTGCAGGAAGCGCTTGATACTTCTTGTGATCACAAAACTCCTACTACTTACATGGATATAGTAGTTTAACATTTTGGCTGTCATCGGTAAGCCACCCAAAGGAGTAAAAGAGGCAGTCTGATCGTTGGCTGTCAAAGGTTTGTGAGCAGCCTTATGAGTACGTTTCACCATATTCCCAGAAGAAACACTATAGTACCATGTCTCCAGGCCTGTCTCCAGGACTATGATGCACTACTGCTCAACCTTAGTGCTTTCAGGTGTTTTTCTTCGCATAAACTGTAAGCATAATTCAGTAATTGCTTGAATATTCCCATGGTTTGAAAAATAACACCATGACGAACGTTAATGTTTTCTGGATCTCGTCATCAGGTCGCTACATATATAATGGTTAATGGTCTACAGAAAGCCCACGTGGACGGGACAGTACACAAACTTCCTGAGCTTTGTGCCACTGAGGCGGAAACGAACCCTCATTCAAACTTTAACGAACCGAGCAAAACGTATTTGCTCTGCTGAAAGACTGGACTCCGAACTGCAGCAAATTGCTAACGTGCTGCGAGCCAATGGTCGCCTAAGAATATGTCCAACCGCCCTTTCCAACCGCCTATCAACTCCGTTGGAAAGAAGCCAATATACTTGAATCGTCCACCCGCCCCAACCGCCTATCAACTCCGTTGGAAAGAAGCCAATATACTTGAATCTACCGTATAAAGACGATCTGTTGGTGGATATGTATGGTCGCCACTTGTTCCAAGCCTTACAACGCACGTTTCCGGCTGGAACTCTGAGGTCTTGGTTCACAACAAACTCTTTGCTCAACTTAAATCTCAAAGACAAGATGCCAGTCCTCACCCAGAATAGGGTTGTGCATTCTTTCTCATGCTGTTGTTCGGCGGAGTATGTTGGGCCCACGACACGGCAACTTTCCAAGAGAATACGCGAGCACCTCTCGTACCGGAATACCAATAACCTCAACAGTTAAGCCAGGAGCTCAATTGCATCCCACATTTATTGACACCGGGCACGTAGTCATGCCAAATGCATCGTTTCAAATCATTTACCGCGTGCCAAATGGACTGACAGTATCTATTCAACGGCGTTGCTTGACTACAGCTGAGGCAGTCGCTATACGCCTGCGAAATCCGGTACTGTGCTGTCAAAAACGTTTCGTACGAACACTAGGTCTGTCTTGGTCGTGTGACACCAACCAACCGGTCAAGTAAC